AAAGAGGCCAACGACGAACGACAACCATAGATAGAAAAAGACGAACGTATGCTATTTTAGCCACAGGAGCGAAAGTGTCACTATAATCTAGCCCAAATATCTGGGTATACCCTTTGACGACAAGGCGAGCCTTAAGTCGATCAACCTGACCATCTGGACCAATTTTGACTGCATAAATCCAACGACAACCAACAGTAGATTTACCTGCAGGAAGGAAGACAATCTCCCAAGTACCACTCTTATATAAAGCAGACATCTCATCAACCATAGCCTGCCTCCATCTAGAATGAGAAAGTGCTTCACCTGTAGTCTTAGGAATGGAAACAGAGGACAAAGACGACACAAATGCATAATGGTGTGATGATAGACGATGATAACTTAAGAAGGTATAATGCGGGTTAGTATTTCGAGTAGATCGTATACCTTTTTGAAGTGCAAGCAGTGGGCTAGGTAGAAGCAAGTCCGCTGTAGGAGCAGGGTCTAGCGCATGACGTGAATCATCTGGGACTAGGGTTGGACGTGGACGGCGATGACAAGTTAGTAGTGGTGGCTCTGCAACTGGAGATGTAGACGTAACTGTAAATCCCTCAAAGGTTGGTATAGGTAAAACTTGAGGTATGGGTAAGACCATAGAGACATCAGTATGATCAGAAGATGTATAGTAAGGCTGAGACTCAAAAAATGTAACATCAGCGGACATAACGTATCGATGAAGATCATGTGAATAACTATGATACCCTTTTTGAACTCAAGAATAACCAAGAAAGACACATTTGAGGGCACGAGGAGCTAATTTATCTTTCCTTGGGGCTAAATTATGAACAAAGCATGTGCTCCCAAAGACAAGAGGGGGAATAGGATAGAGATGTGACTGAGGAAAAGTATGTAATGTGGAACTTGATTCTGAATAGACAAAGAGGGCATTCTGTTAATTAAATAACAAGCTGAAAGGACTGCATCGCCCCAAAAATGCAACGGAACATGAGATTTAATGAGAGTGCAAGCAGTCTCTATGGGATGCTTATTCTTTCTTTTCGCGACACCATTTTGTTGAGGAGTGTGGACAAGATATTTGGTGAATGATTCCGTGGTGAGACATAAATTGCTGAAATTGGGATGATAAGTATTCTAAGGCATTATCACTACGGAAAGTACGTATAGAAACATCAAACTGATTTTGTATTTTAGCAAAGAAACTTTTGATAATAGAAAATAACTCAGAACGATCTTTCATTAAAAAAACCCACGTACATCTTGAATAATCATCAATGAAATTAACAAAATAATGAAATCCTAAGGTGGAACTGGCTCTACTAGGACCCCAAATATCAGAATGAACTAATAAAAAAATAGACTCTAAACGACCCTCAGTACTATGAGAAACGTAGCACGAGTGTGTTTCCCAAGTTGACACGACTCACGATCTAATGTAGATATACTAGACAAACTAGGCACTATCTTTTGCAGTTTGGATGGACTCGGATGTCTCAGACGTTTTTGAATTAGATTTGGGGAATCTGTAATGGAGCATGCTGTCAAGGAATTTGAAGAGGTAAGATAGTAAAGGCCTTATGATTCATGTCTTGTTCCAATCATCTATCTCGTACTGCGGTCCTGTATGAGAAAAAAATCATCAAAAAAAGTTATGCTACAATGTAGGTATTTCGTCAAACGACTAACAGATGCTAGATTAAAAGGAGAACCAGGAACATAAAGAACAGAGTCTAGGGTGACAGAAGATAGAGGTTTGGATTTTCCAACCCCTTTTGGTTTTGTCTGGATCCCATTGGCTAAAGTGATAGCTGGAAGAGATTGCAAATAAACTATATCAGATAAAAGTGATTTATTACCAGAAATATGATCAGAAGCCTAGAGTCCACGACCCATGTTCTTACAGTACTATATTTCGACACACAAGCAAAAGATTACCCGTGACAGACACATCGTGCAACCGGACTACTTGAGGAGACGTTTGCTTATTTGCACGACACTGAAGGAACTCATCATATTCTATCTGAGCAATATGAGCATTATTGGATGGTTGATTAGGTTGAGCACCATATGCTACTGGTGAAGATGACTGTTTACTTGCGCGATTTCGAAGGAACTCATTATATTCCTTTAGAGCAAGAGGCTCATAATTGGGTGGTGGACCATGCAAAATATGACATGTCACGAGTGTGTCCAAACTTGTGACAATGACTACACTTGGATCGAGGTTTCCCTAAACGTCCTCCCCCTCGCCGATTCTCCGTAGACTAATATGTACGCTTTTCAAAGGTTTGAGATGCGAGAATAGAGGAGTTAATAGTGGGTGATGAAACGACTTTGTGACTAGGAGGTGCCGCAAGACGAAGGAGGCGAGGGAATACTTCATCGATTGTAGGAACTGTAGGTCTAGCTAAAATCTGATCATGCACATAATCATTATCAGGAGGAAGTCCAGCAAGAGTAAGAACTAGAAACAATGTTTGTCTATGTTCTGGTTGTTTTTCCACAACTGTAGTTACTGGCATGAACGTGTCGAATTCCTCCATGACTGCCTGTCTCTATCCCAAGTAAGTAGACATATCGGATTCTTGTTTTTTTAATTTAGTCAATCGAGATATCACATCATAGAATTGAGAGATGTCATTAGTGTATAAAGCACGCGCCTTTGCCCAAACTATATAAACACGTTTGGAATGGGCAAAACAAGGGCATCAATTTGGAATCAATCGAACGTCACAGGAGACTACATAATTGAGCATTTACTTTCTCCCAATGTGCGTTGAGTTTTGCATCTTCCTCACTAGTCTTTGCCTTTACATCTACCACATAAGTCTTGTTCGTTAAGTGATCGTGCACACTTTGACCCTTGCACCAAAATTTAACTGACGAAGCCCAAGATAAATAGTTTGAACTTCCCAATAGAAGTTTTGAAGTGACTATAGGGCTAGAATTTTCAATCCTTATATTTTTAGAACCAAAAACATCACATCCAAAAGACATTATGCTAAATTTGTCTCAGGGACAACAAAAAAACTTGATTATTGAGATCTGATCGTCTGGAAATTCAAATCTCAAAAAAAGTTTACCGAAAACAACCTGAAAATAGCCGAAACCCTAATTGCGGCGATCGAATTTGGTCGAAATTAGAAAAATAAAATAGAATTACATAGTTAGCCTCGAAATGAAGAGGCGACCCAAATAGAAAAAAAAATTATCGAAAAAACTGGTCGAAAAAAGTCGCACGAGCCGGCGCGTGGTGTGACAGTTCGCCGGCGAAAATCCTATTGGCGGCGCGTGACGGTGCGTGTAGCACTGGTTTCCGGTGGGGATGACTGGGCTTTGCTCGCGGAGAAATTCCGCAGCTAGTGGTGGTGTCAATTTTATGAAAACAGTGTAGGAAAATAATAATTATCCGTACATCAACTAGGTTACTGGAAAATATGATTTTTTCCCCTCACAATTGCTCTGATACCATGTGGGAAATATTGGAGAAAATATTATTGAATTGCATATCTGAATTGTTACATGAAAACCCTATTTATAAACACTACATTGGAAACCTTTTCCAACTAGAATTCCTATTCTAAGTAAGAAATACTTATTCCTATTCTAACAGTAGTCACCCAAAAGATGGCAAGGTGCTACGCATATCAAATATAAGAAAGTAGTCACAGAAAAGATGGCACAACGCTACACAAATTAGATATGCAACAATAATCATTGAAAAGATACACAGTGACCCAATTTTTGCTAACACAATCATTGGCCGGATGGGCGACATATATGGGTAATAGTTGCCTACCGACTGTGGAAGCTCTTTGATCTCTACCAAGATCAGAGTCTCTCATAGAGACTATGATGAGAGACTCTGATACCATGTGAGAAATATAGTAGAGAAAATATTATTGAGTTGTGTATCTACGTTATTACATTGAGGCCTGATTTATTGACACTATTACTTTTCCAACTAGGACACCACAATACAATCCTCTTCCAAGAAGAATTATATATACGATTCCTATTTCTATTCCTATTCGAAGTAGGATTGTATATGTTTTACTCTTATTCCTATTCCTATTCTAACATGAAGATAAGATAGGTTAATTAAATGCTCCATTCTTTTGCTAAATACAACTTTTAATGAGGAATACTCATGCCAATGCAGTATGAGAGTAAATGGCAATCAAATGCACTTCGAGAGTCCATCCTTATCAAAAAAATGCACTTCGAGAGTCCATCCTTATCAAAAAAATGCACTTCGAGAGTCCACAGTCAGCGCTTACAAATGAGACAATGGGCAGCAGGGGTGAAGGACAATGTACCTCACTCTCTTGTAAGATATTTTTTAGGCTAAAACATTTTAAAATGGTTGGAACTTGTTTGTATTCGAGTTTCCTAACAGAAACACAGCATAAAACACACTGAAGAATGAATGGAGATGGAAAAATTCTGTCTCGAGTAGTGGAATCCCACTACAATTTGCACACTTTTTTCTCAGAAAACTACAACTTTCTGGATTAGGGCTCTGGGTTCCTCCCTCATTTATGATTGCAGAAGATTTTCACGGAGATCAAGAATCTTTGTGGAGGCTGGGTGATTACACGTGTGGGGTTTGGGGAGGGTGATTTGTACAGTCTTTCCCTACCTTTTAAAAAGATTGTTTGTGATAGATCCTCGGGTCTAATGAAATATATCAAAACAAGTATGGTTATAAAAAACATGGATTTGAGTTTTGCTCAAGTAGATCTTCCAATATTGATGTAAAAATTTGACGTACTCAAACTAGAACATAAAAAAATGAATAAATGGTTTGAGGATTATGAAAGAATTGAATAAACCGACGAACTCTTCAAAAATAAAAAACATTTTTCAATTCCAATTTTCATTGTGAAGGATGTACTTTTAACCTATCCTGCATTTACTCATCAGCATGAATCATCAAGTGCTGGGAAAAATTTGTCGGTAAAGATTTAGGAACAAACAAGTTGATCCATCTGTTCATATGTTTTTGTCAAGTACTACCTACGTTTCCTTCTATATGATAGTGTTTGATATGGAGCATAAGATTAAAATTGCTTTTGCTCTTCAGATTTGCTGAGATTTTAACTAACCTCTGAAGCTGATCTAGTAAGCTTTAGTACATTTTTAATTTTCTTATCATTCAGTTTCGAAAAAAAAATGTAATCTGAAAAAAAATTGAATTTATTGTTCAAAAGCTAGTTTGATTGGGAAAACATTAAATCAATGTTTATCAAAAGCTCAACAGTTTAATGAATTTCAATTCCTGAAAGTTGTGAAAGTAGTTGATGAGTGTAAAAAATTTGGATATTCCAGAAAGGTGAGAGTATAATTATATTTATTGAATTGGAGGGAATTAGGGGTGTTCATGGAAAACCAAACCAACTGTTAAAAAATTGACTTTTTGATTCGATTTGGTTAGATTTTTATTTAAGAAAAACTGACAAAATTTGTTTGGTTTGGTTTTAAGCAAAAAATAACCAAAAAATCATCCAAAAGGACTAAATACCTATCCTAAAATTGTATAAACATGGATATATGTATATTCTTATATATATTTTTTGGTGTACTACTCTTTACAATGACTTTGACTTGACTGGTTTCTCCATACGAATTTAGCTCTTTTTGTTGGTGCTGAAAAATTTGTCATCTACATGTTATATATATGCAAGCATGTGTATAGAAGTACTCTGACATATGGACTAGTTAAGCGTCGATATGCACTTAGTGAAGTGCTATTACTATATCTGTATTAGTGTATTTTGTGCCACAGTGTTTCTCATATAACCGATGTCCTGGACAATGTCTTGTTTTTGACAACCGTGGTGTCCTAGCTAGCTTGTGTGCGCCTCGACTGATTCCATGGGTACCTGCTACCTTCCACCAACACTAGTACCGCCAACTCTGTCCACACTTGGACATATAGGAAGATATCACCTAGTGTTTTTGACTTTGGTGGGATTTGAACCATGGTTCTCAGCCTACTTCATTGGTCACTAAGCCACACCTTTCCCTTGGGTGCAATATAGATGATGTCCTTGACAGGGTTTTCTTATTTTTGAGATGATTTCCTTGACAGTGCTTGTCACATTTTTTTAAAACAACAAAAAACCAAACAAACTAACAAAAACTGAATGGATGAAGTTTCCACAAAGTATGATTGATTTGGTTAAGTATTTGAAAAATTGACTTAATTGGTTTGATTTCTTTTAGGTAAAAACCGATCCAAACTGAACCATCAACATTCCTAGAGGGAGGAATAACTAACGAGTGAATCTGTGGGAATTGTTTGGTTTACATAAATTAAGATCATCTTTTCGATCGTTCATCAATATTTTGGAATTGGACTACTGGAAAGATGACATGAAGATATGACTGTTGGTTATAAGAATAAATAATCTGAACAAATGAGTTCTTTATGAAAGTCATGTTCTAGTTTCAATCCTTGGAGTGAAAGCTTACTATAACCTACGCACATTTATCATCAGTGTGGGAAACAAATTTTGTCTTAACAAGTTTCGGATCGGAAATACGAGAGACCGTGTAATTTAATCATCAGTGGGCTATAATACTCTTCCCTGGATCTCATTCAGCCAATTTTGTATATTGTGATCACTCATGACTCGAGTAACCTTTCAAAGCACTTAATGTCTATTGAGTGCTTGTGATATGCTAACTCTAGTTGAATACTATGGTCGCTTACATATCTTACCATGAAGAACCTTAAAATCTCTCATTACAACAGTGCTTTATATTTGTTACAGATATAAACCCAGCGAGGAGACATTGGTACAGATTGACCGATTTTGTGTAAGCATCATTGCTGAATGTGATATGAGTCCCAACCGAAAATTGGCTCCATGGTCACGGTCTTTAAGCCAACAAAGTAGTGCATCTACCGCATCAAGTACTGTATCGCCTTTACCTGTTTCGAGTTATGCATCAGGAGCACTTGTGAAGTCCTTAAATTACGTTCGTTCTCTAGTCACACAATATATCCCAAAGCGATCATTTCAACCAGCGGCTTTTGCTGGAGCAGCTACTGCATCAAGACAAGCACTTCCCACACTGTCATCTTTATTGAGCAAATCCTTCAATTCCCAACTTGGCCCTGCAAATGGTAAAGAGCTATTGGAGAATAAAGATGTCTCTACTGTTTCGACTTCAGGCTCACCTATAGCTGAAGAAATTAATAGAATGGAAGATCATGAATTCACTGCTTTTGATGTTTTCAAGTGGCGTTGGTGCAGAGATCAGCAATCGTCACCATCTCCATCCAAAAGGTAGTTAAATTATTTGCTAGTGGTCCTGTAATATCTATTTGCTGTATAGGGCATTTACTGATTATGGAAACCTCAACTTTCAGTGACCATCTTTTGAATCCGAAAGACGTGAGTGCACATAATTTCCTTGAAGTAGGTGCAGCAGCTCTTCTTGTTGGTGACATGGAAGCTAAAATGAAGGGTGAGCCTTGGAAAATCTTTGGGAGTTCGGAGATGCCTTATCTAGATCAACTTTTGCAGCCTTCACTTCTCACGACCGTGACCAATTCCGTGTCTGCTCGTGCCCACTTAAGAGCAATAACAGCTCTAAAACGTTCTAAACCAGGGCCTCATCAAATATGGTAAATAGAATTAACACTGATTCTCTATTTCTTTTTTCAATTTCGCATCTTAACATGCTTCTTGATGTTGGTTTCTACAATGTCTGAAAACAATCTCAAATTTTTAATGGAAGTTATAGGAGCTTCACTTTGTCCGGTGAATTTATTTTCACTTTTTTATCTTTGAACTACTTCTTCCACTTATTGAATGTGGGGTTTTTATTTGAGTATTAGAAACATGAATTCCGTAGTCTATCTTAGAAGTGTTGAAAACCCTTTTTTATCTCAGACTCTCAGTGTTGTGCATATATGAAGAGCTGTAATACAATTTCAAGTCATGCAAAATAATGAATCTGAACCAGTGAAACTTTAATTTTTGATAATAATTATTCTTTTCTTATATATGTGTAAATCAGGGAGGATTCTCCCGTGAGCACTTTCCGTCCCCGTGCAAAGCCGCTTTTTCAGTATCGACACTACAGGTATGTCACGAGGCATTCCTTAAAAAGATATATTTTTTTAAAGATAATTTAAGTGTTTTGTTATCGCTTGAAACACAACTTCTTTCTATGTGAGATCAAAAAATTCTAGGCGTTCCTACACTAGGGCTTAGTCTAAGTGGCAAAGGTCGAGGGACTTGTGACTTAGGTCACAGATTTGAGCCCTGTACCATGTAAATTGAGTCAGGTATGTAAGTGGAGAATGATAGAGGTTGGACCCATTATCCCCTAGTTTGAAGTTATGATTAGCCATTAGTTGGCAAGGGTTGAGATGTGGGCCCATTGTCCCTGAGTTTCGAAGGCTGCGGTCGTTCCTGGGTTGGCCCTGACGTATTTCTTGGTCATAACAAAAAAAGAAGAAACTTACTTTCAAAATTATAGTTGTTCTTGTGTTATTATATCCAGCCTAATTTTTAAAATTTTGTGGCCAATCTATCCTATTTCAGTTATACAGCTGGGTTGTTAGAATGTTATACATTTCCCTAGCCCCTTCCCCTCGGGATGTTGGTCCATGTCCCCCTATCCATGAATTTAAAGTACTTTAGCTAGTACCTCACTTCTTTACCTCCTTTACGGATATGATTTATACTGTAGACCGAAGTGTGAGCATCCCTTTTGAGTTGTTGATGGTCAATTACTAAAGAAAGATGGCTTACACTGTCTTATCTCGTCATATCCATTATTTTTCCGAATTTCACCTTGCTTCTTCCTTGTCTTACACATGCACAACTATAGCTGCGTTACATTGATCCTTTGTTTATCTCGAGACAGGTGTGGAACGAGTCTTACACGGCCACGAGTACGTCGTCCTAGTTCTTAAAGTACATTGCGGATTAGCAAAAACTATCACCCAGAAAAGTTTATATAATTGGAAAATCGTCGAGGTTGAGATCCTCACAAGGGTATAAGAATTCTAAACTAGGGGATTTAGTCATTGAGATTCTTAAAGTACAGGAGATAAAATTTGACTTGGGTAGACCATAGATTATTTTCAGAGGTGATAGGTATGATACTGAAAGTTGTTTCTACTAGATTAAATGTTCTCTCTTCAATGAGACATTTTATTAGCTTGTTATAGGTTTCTTTGATATGTGTGTTCATTGGGTTTGCTCTCTTTAATAATATGTTTTTGTTGCTTTCCTTCTAGGTATGCATTCCCACTACCTAATTTCCTCCCTCTTATGTCTTTCTTGATTCATGATACGTTGATGTTATCAGTGAACAGCAGCCTCTGCGATTGAATCCGATGGAGGTCTATGAGGTTATTGCTGCAGCTTGCTCTGAGACTTCTGCTCCAAATACTTATCTGATGACATTTTCATCTAAACTAAGTAACAACAGTGGAAAGCCGTCAATGGACGTGGCTGTCAGTGTACTTGTCAAACTTGTAATTGACATGTACGTGGTCCTTTCCTTGCATCTAGAACTTTTACATTATAAAAGTAACAGGAATGTCGTGAATCTTGTTTATTTTTATATATTATCCCATAATAGGTAGTTTGATAGACCTTAGTAGTGCAATTCGGCAGCAAAGTCGAATTAAGTCTGTCCCAAGAAGTTACTTCTCAAACATCAAAGTAATGGCATATGCATAAAATCTTTTGCATGCTCAATATCATAAATGCTTATTTGTGATATTGCTTACACTCTTCCAGTTCCTTGATTATGAAATCTCATTCTTCGATGAGTAGGCAACAGCTCTCCATGATTCAATTCCTTGCCTTTTATGTTCGTGGGCTGTGTGGAAGCATACTCGTACTTGTCTTGTAACAGAAGTCTTCGATTTTAACTTTTTGATTATGCAAGTGCTGTAGATGTCTGTCCTTTTCTTCTTATTTACATTTACAAGTAATGTTTATTTGACCTAATATGTATCCTTTTTTAGGAATAACTAATAGGTTTCTTAATTGGGCTAGTGTGGACTTATGGGACATGCATATTGTAACTGATTTATGTATAAGATGGTACCATTTAGCGTTAATTGGTGCATTAACATCACATTCCATGAATTATGGGTTTTTAG